GATGATGTGTCAACATGGCACAGAAAGTCTATCTGATCATGTCCATGCATATCTTTACAGCAAACACTTACAAGGATCATTGCCACATGGGAGAAACGCTCATAAGTCTGGCATATGTAAGCCAGCCCTGTGTCATCAAGCAGTATCTTCTGCAGTATGAAGGTAGCAACCTGAAAAAACAAACATGCGTATAAAGATTTCTCGCTAGTAGGTGTCAATATTATGCTATGGGCTATCTGTAAAGGTTTAGACTATTTTAAAAACGGAATAGCTCCGTACCGTCTTAGAGAGCTCACTTCCTGATTCCATAATGCGGAGACAAAGCGGGATGATTTCAGTTGTGAGAAGAAAGTTAATCACTTCTTGTTCATCTGTTTTGACCAAGGCACCTGCATTAAGTACAAACAAACATCTTAATACCTGTACACACACACTTTGAATGATAAAAACTCTTTTCATAATACAATGAGAGGAGAGCATACCTATGACTCCAAGGCTGGTGAGGCGCAGGTACTCGAATGGGCGCGTTTTGCTCACAGTGTGCAAAAAGGGATAAAGGAAAAGGGGAATGTGGGCTGCGAGGAAAGCCGACCTGGCAAGATATTAAAAATTAAAAGAAAAAAGAAAAATACTTTTAAATCAGTGTAACCACACTCATATCAAACACATATACCGTATTTTTCACACCATAAGGCGCACTGGATTATAAGGCGCACTGTCGATTAACGGGTCTGTTTTCATACATAAGGCACACTAGATTATACGGTGCATCAAGCGAAACAAAACAGTCAGATAAGTCAAACTTTACTCAACTCATTCTTCTTGCTTCCTCCACTTCCGTACCATTGATCCATTAATGTTTAATTCTCTCACAATTCTCTCACAGCTGCTCTTTCTTTGTGGATGGATTATCTCAGTTGTTCTCCTGACTGAAGTTTGGGCTGTTTACAGCATCCTGCCACATGATTGCATTTGTTCTTAACCCTCGGGAATCCTCATGTTAACTTTTATTGAGTGGAAAAAAGTTAGCGTTCATCCTCCAGCTTCACTGTGGTTTTGTTATGCTAACATAGCTGTGTTGCTAACGATCACAGCAGTGATGTTCGTTGGTTTACTGAAGTTGGACAAGCTGGTATTTAGTGATGTGCACAGCTCGAAGCCGACCCGGTTGTAGTGGGCCTCGACCTCCTGTTAGCTTCGAGATGGTGGGTAACAGACGTCTCTGAAAACGTTGGAGCACTTTTGCAAATATGTGATGTGTTGATTAACCAAGCAGATAATTGATGTTTACACATCTACATTCACGCCACATCTACATTCAATTTTTTTTTCTCCCATGTCCCTTGCAGGGCTCGGTATGGAAGTGATAGCAGAGCTGTACGTTTTAATTCTTTCAGAAATCTCTCAGTCAGAACATGCTGTATCATGTTTAGATGGAAACTAGTGAGCTAACTTTCTGCTAACATCTAACTCTGTTAAATTTAATAACTTCTGTTTTCATGGATGCCTCGATGTTAAACTTAATTGTTACACCTGGTAAAGCAGCAACACTGATTATTTTTATTAAAGATGAAAGAATTTAGACAGTTTTTAACTCTCAGTGATAACACAGTGTTTGTTTGACTGTGTGACCTGAAACGGACAGAGTTTTGGACCAGAATTCATACATTAGGTGCACCGGAGTATAAGGTGCACTGCTGATATTTGAGAAAATTAAAGCATTTTAAGTGCACCTTATAGTGCAGAAAATTAGGTACTTTCATTTAAGGCTTAAAAGCCTTGTTTGTATCAGTGAAAAGAAAAGATGAGGTAAAACATAAAAAAAGAAGCATGGTTTCAGTTTAGTTTTCTGAAATTCCTGACAGAACAAATGAAGGCAAAGTGGATAAAACTCAATCTGTTCTGTAGTAAAGGTTTTTCTTTAGTATTACATAATTAAAGCTTCTAATTGTCCCCTTACCGTGTCTCTGGGTGTGAGGCAACACACTGCAGGAGTGCCAAGGCGTTGCACACTCGGTTAGACTGATGTGCTGTGAGTGTCGGTGGGTTAATGGATGGATAGATGTTCACTATTTCCTACAAAGAGAAAGGAATGCATCAATGGTGCACAGCAAATGACACTGGGCAAACAGAACTATAGAGATGATGGATTACTCCGTCATCTCTGTGGTATCAACTCACAGGTATTAACTCAACAAGTTAATACCTGCAACTCTACTCTGATGGTAGGTAGAGATAAAAAACGCTTACAACCATTTCAAGACCTAGTGCCCTGGAAGTCTTATAATTCAGGTCAAGTTTTAAAATATACTAAGAGCTCTTAACAACAAGCAACAAGTACCAATGTAACATATTATATAAAGAAAAATAAATATAGCAAAACAATT